CTGTCCAGAGGTAGGAAAGATCAAAGAGGATTCATCCTAACTAAAAATACAAAGAAGGGGGGAGTAGGAGACCACAGCCGTTCCCCCACAGCTGTGCTCAGCAGCCTCGGCAGGTTCTCCCAAACACACCACTCTGAAGGAAGCTGCAAACACAGAGCTCAGAAACAGTGGTGCCAGGGCAGCTAGTCAGAGCTTGTGCGTGCTCAGCCCATGCATCCACCATCAAGCCCTCGTTCCTGGCCACCACACTCACCATTGCAACCTCTCCCTTACTGCTGCCTCACACTGCAAAGGAAAACAGATGCTTTCCCTCTGCAGCCTCTGCTTTCAGCCAGAGCAGGTCCACATCACCACAGAGTACCTGACCATTCTGCCTGCAACTCAGCCCCTCTGCTGTCCCAGTGCACTGCATAAAGCCAGGCCCATGCTGGGTAAGCCTTCCAAGCTTAAGTAGCCCACCAACCTCTTCTGGGCAGCAACTAGCAACAATTCCATCACAGGAAAGGGGAAGAAGCCCCACCTCAAACAACTATGAAATCATCCACCCCCCAAGGCATCCTCCTCCTCCTCCTATTTCAGTTGTGCCCTGAAGCATATCAGTCAACACACAAGGGAAGGCTTTCTTGAATGCCAACAAACTCTCCACTTTAAGGGCATATTATGGCTGTATGTTCTCCCTGTTATGCCAGGCAAAAACAGACATTTCCATGTTTTAAATCTCACCTGGCAGTCCAATTCTTTTTTCAACACCTTCCTATTTATACCAGTGCAAGAGGTACAGATGATCACAGCTTCTCTGGAGCAGCCTTTCAGAAGTCTGTCAAGCAGAAGAGGATCCAAAAGGGCTCTTTTACACTCATAACCAACACACCTTACACTAGCTAGCAGCCAGGGAGGACATGCCCATCACAGCACCTGTAAGAAACACCCATTGCTAATAAACAGAAACTCCAGCTCTGTTCCCCCACTCAGCCTCTCCTAAGCACAGCCACAGTTCTCTCTCATACCATTTAAACTTTCCATTTTAACTTTCTTCAGCTGTGAACTGCTCTGAGTGTGGCCTGGAGATACTCAGCACCTGTTTCCAGCACTGGAAAGCCCTGAATAGCCATGTGAGTGGGAGAAGTGGAGGAAAGGCTTTGGGAGAGGCTTTTCTCTCAGATAACCACCAGCTTTGCCCATGCACAAGGCCAGTCCTCCTCTGTGTGTTTAAGGGGGAACATGAAAGCGAATTCAAATACTCAGCTGGTGACAAGCAGGGCATCATGGAGCGACGCCAGGAGGTTTTGAGTCTGGGCAATGCAAGACTCCATGGCTTCTCGTGTAGTACTCACTGCACTGCAGGATGGGATAACGAAGGGCACACCAAGGCAGGGTGGACGTGCCTTGATCTGTTTGTGCAGTAGCAGCTCGGTGCTGCAATACGTGGCACCAGCCCGTGATTTCATAATGCGCCACTGTCCCAGTTCACAGGTGCTACCAGGTTTCTTGTAGTTAGTTCCTGCAGAGCTTATTGCAATCTTACTTACATTAAGGTAATCCCAACCCTCCAGGTTCTCTTCTGCAGCACTTATTTCTGGATTTTGCAATGTTTTACATTAAGAAGAGTTTATTTGTTAATGAACAATAAATACAATTTGTTGAGTTAGGAAATGTAAAATTGCTCAGAAACTTAAATCGATTACATTAAGAGTATCTAATTAGCCTAGTTTACTTGAAGATCCCTGGACAAACCTATGAGACTTCACTGTAGAGAAAAATACCATTTCATAAGACAGCAGGTGGAAAAAACTTCTATCTAATAGCAAACTTTGAAATATAAACATTCATTGTAGGAACATTTGTTACCATAACCTGTACCCTTGATCCCAGCCAGTGATTTCCTGGTACACTGCATTCATAAGGCTTCATGATTTTTACAAATCTAATCTTCACTCTTGAGATGTGTGGCCTGCATGAATTCTAGGGAAAAATGGCATTACGTCTTCCTTTCATGAATTAAGCATGAGGCTGTAAAGTATGTTGCACGCAAGGATTCTCACTGATATTAAAACAACGCAAACAGGCTCTTTTTGTGCACTGAAGACATGAAGCTTGGTCCACCTGAAAGGGATGACCCATACAAAAGATGCAATAAACATCTTTCCAGGAAAAAAGCCTTGTCTTCCTGGAGAATTAAAAGTACAAAATAGAGACTTATTCGTGTTTTTATAACATGGGTGCCAGCAAATGTGAAATCAACAGTTAAATGGAAGGTAACCCGACCATCTCATGAATGAAAATAGCTGTTGGTAGAGAAGACTGATTAAATACACTTCAAGAGAAAAGGATTTCTCATTGGAACAAGTTAAAATTATCATGACCAGGCTTGTAAGAGTTGTAGTGCACCATTTAAACTTCTACAAGCCTGACAAGGACTTGCTTCCTGGGACATTTCAGAAATGAGGTCTAGCAGAAGATGAAACTGTAGGTGTGTCCCACTGTGTGGGTGAGGGTGTGTTTGGAGGGCTATTGTATAAAAAGATATTTCCACAAACAGTTGCTATAAGCCATAACAAGCAACACTCTGAATTAGCAACAATCAACATCACAAAGGCTGAGTGAGAGAAAAACAATATAGCAAATCAATACAGGAAATTTGGTATCATGCAACCAGTTCACCTTGCAAAGAATGACAGCTGACAGCCTGCACTGCGCTAAAGACTTGTGCGCCTGGGAAAGAGGGAAAACACGACAGGCAGGCAGAAGGCAACTTCAAATGTTTGAGGCTCAGGTTGCAGTAAGACCTCAGAAGATAGATGCTGAGATGAACTATCCACTGCTACGTATTTGAAAAAGATAAAGAAAATCTTAAATGAAGAGGATGCAAGGTAGCAAATGTTATCTACTTCTGGTCATGCTGTGTCCATGAACTGAAAACAAAACTGAAGAGAGAATGTTATTTGGATGTACATCTTATGGACTCAATCCCAACAACAGAAAGTTTGATGAATTCTGGAGTATAGATATACAAGCTTACCCACAGTCCATACAATGTGCTACTTTAAATTTCTTCAACCATATGTTTGTATTTGATTAAAGGGATTCCAAGAAATATAGAATTCCCTAAATGTCTTGAAAACAGCATAAATAACACAGGCTTTTGAGAACTGCATCCTACATTTGCATTCTACCCCAATACTGTTGGGCATCCTCCGTAACTAGACAATTGGAACTGTGAAAACTCACAATACCGTTGTGAGATTTTTTTTTTTTTAATTAAAGCCACATTAATTGATAGCAGCATCTACCACAATGTTACTGCTCTTCAGAAATACCAGGTCAAAAGGTAAAGGTTTACAAAAACTTCTCCACATGAGATATATACATCCACAGAAAAAAGCTGATTTGCTCTTCATGACCATCTTTTCCTAATAAAAAACAAGCCTATATAGGTTCAGCTAATGCAGTACCAGTGTTCCTGTACACAACCTTGCTTCTACTAGCAAATAATGTTTGTATTTGAGCTTGGGAAGGTAAATACCTGAGTAAAATGTTCAAAGTACCTACATAATTTAGGCAGTCATGAGAACATTACCTCTCATATTCACCTGATGTGCCAAGAGAGGCTAGCCCACAGCCAGGATGCTCTCCCAGGTCTCTCAGCCATATCATGATAGCATTTGGTCTAACCTCTTGGAGACAGGCAGAATGTGTTGAAGTTGCCTCGAGAAGAGAAGGCTCAGGGGGGATCTGATCAGTGTGTATAAATATCTGATGGGAGGGTGTCAAGAGAACGGGGCCAGACTCTTCCCCGTGGTGCCCAGTGACAGGACGAGCGGCAACGGGCACAAATGGAAACACAGGAAATTCCAGCTGAACATAAGAAAACCACCTCACTGTGAGGGTGCTTGAACACTGAACAGGTTGCTCAGACAGGTTGTGGAGTCTCCATCCTTGGAGACAGTCAAAACCCAACTGGACATGGTCTTCAGCAGCCTGCTCTAGGTGACCCTGCTTGAGCAGGGGGTTGCACCAGATGATCTCCAGAGGTCTCTTCCAACCCCAGCTAGTCTAGGATTCTGTAAGTGGCATAATGTATCGATCTATAGAGCCTATTTTCCAATCAGACCAGTGCCATGCACACTCCGCACCCCTCAGTTATTTTCTAGTGATGCCAAATAAAATGAGGAGTTATTTCCTGTAATCGACTGTCACATTCCTTTCCTTGTAGTCTTACACACAGCTGTTTTCAAGCTGCTGTCATACAATTCTTTCATAATGAAATTGTGAATTATAAAATATAATTGTAGATGTAAGTTTGCAATAAATCGCTGACGCATGTGATATTTGCCAATGTTCACTACATTTTTATGAGAGATTATGAAGATGTCAGTAGTTCAAGTGTATCTATAAAATATATACTGTAATATGTTTTCAAGAGGCATAAAGCAAGACAAGACTAAAAATAAAGAAATAATGTGTCCATAAAATAGAATATATTAAAATATCACTTAAATATAAAAATAACCTTGATTTTTTGATGTATATCTGAAAGGGGGAATAGCACGTGGAAGGATTACGTTAAAAGAGACATAGTACTATTCCATATTACAACATTTTATTGTTGTGCTGAAAGGGATGTGAATGAGATGAGATGATCAGGGTGAGTTTAATTCAGGTGACTGTAAGTCAGTGGACTAGATCACAGGAAAAATCTAGCTAATTCAGAGCCACCCAATAGAAATTATATGTTTTGTATGAATAAATAAATGGTCGTGAACACTGTAAGTATGGGTTAAGCTTCCTGACACTGCCAAACATCTCCCTTTGGCAAATTGCTCTTGCCGTAAGAACCATGGCTTGCAAATGCACATGGAAAGAAGGTACTCCCTTTCATGGTGACACCCACTGTCTCAGTATAAATACAGACCAGGCAGGGTAGAAGTTGGAGCTATGATTCCAAAACAACTGTAAAACCAGCTTTGAGTTTTAACCTGAAATCATTCACTGCTGCCACTATGAGTTGTGGCTCCAAGCAGACCTCTAAAAGCTGCCTGCGAGGGAGTGGTGGTGGCAGTGCTAGCAGCTGTGGTGGTGGAGGGGGCAGTAAGTATTCCTCTGTCTCCTCAAGAAGACACACCTCTTCCAGAAGCAGTGGTGGTGGCAGGATTTCGGGTAGCAGTTGTGGTGGAGGAAGTTCCAGGAGCAGCTATGGAGGGGGAATGAGCAGTGGTAGCTGTGGAAGGATCAGGCGCAGTAGTTACGGAGGGGGAATGAGCGGTGGCTTTTATGGAGGTGGAATGAGCAGTAGCTGTTATGGAGGGGGAATGAGTAGTGGTGGTTACGGAGGTAGAATGGGCTGTGGCAGTATGGGAGGAGGCTTCGGATCAGGTGGAAGTGGGCTTGGTGGTGGTTATGGAGGAAACTTTGGTGGAGGTGGCGGTGGTTTCAGTGGTGGCGGTTTCAGTGGTGGCAGCTTTAGCAGTGGTGGCTTTGGTGGAGGGAATATGGGATTTCTCTCCAATGATGAAAAGCTGACCATGCAGAACCTCAACAACCGCTTGGCTTCTTATCTGGATACGGTCAGAAATTTAGAAAAGGAAAATATTCACCTTGAACAATTAATCAGGGAGTGGTACCAGAAGCAAGGTCCTACTGGTACAAAGGACTACAGCCACTATTATGGAACAATTGAAGACCTTCAAAATCAGGTAGGATGTTCTTTGTCAGAGAAGTTCAAGCATCAGATAGAATTTTTGTGACTGAGTAAATCTTTGAGGCACCCAGCATGGATATTTCTATACTCCTTAAGTGCCTCTCTAAAAGTGCCTCTTGTGCTTGAAATTCTGCCTTCTCTGCATGCATCCAACTATCTGGGTCTCAGGAGTCAACCAGACAAGACCAAACGCTCAAAGGGACAGGACCTAGACATAGGGATGAATGATATCATCATCCCTAGCTTTAAGTATCTGGGTCTGGAAACTCAGGTTACGTGTCTACGTTTCCAGACTCTGGATGAGGCAGCAGGATGCCCAAGTACAGTACCAAAGGGAGGAATGCCTCTGGAATCCTGCCTCTCCCCTAAATATTAGTATGGAAAGCCCTCATCTTCATAAATGATCAAACCATCTATCAGGATACTGAGAAAACTTTTTTCTTTTCTTTTTCAAACTCCCTTAGAGAGGGAGCGCAGCAGTTTGTTGGCAGTGAGTGCAGGCTCTCAGAATGCCTGCAGTGGGTTTTAGAGCATGGGAAGAACGGCGACGCTTATCCTGGTTTTAGAGCATGGGAAGAACGGCGACGCTTATCCTCTGGGATGGTGCAGTGTCTGATAGTTGAGTACAGCCCTTGACCCGTGGGCATGGAAGGTGAGCCAGCGCAACGGCAATGACTCCAGGCCTGTTGGCAGGACTCTTCACTCACAAAATGCAGTTTTCACACTTCTGATGCTATTTTCATAGAGGTACCTCTTTGTTTTGCACTGCAGATGACCTTTCCAGACCTTTGTATTTAGGAAATGCTGCTTCCTTTAGACAGCTGGGACGCTGTGCAAACTTGGAGAGTTTCACAGGGAAAACTGTCCTCAGCATATTGTCTTCTGTTCTAGCTTGTGACTGCAGCTGTGGAAACTAACAGGATGCTCTTGGACCTGGACAACACACGGATGACTGCAGAAGATTTCAGGAAAAAGTAAATAAATATTTCTCTTTTCCAGGCAATGGCATCCTTTTTCCTCAACTTGCACAAATTCATTCAGTATAGAAATGTCAATTTACAGAGAGTAAGGTTTCTTCTGCTTCCATGGCAGCATAACTGAAATAATCTGTAAGACTTCAAAATACTTCATTATTTCCATAATGCCCTTCAATGGGAATATTCCCTATGGCTGTGGTT